CAGCGGACGCTCGAGGCCCCGAGGGCCCCCAACACAACCGAGACGAAATCTGGAAACTCAAAACCCGCACTGGTAACAATATTGTACACCCGCATCCTTCAAGTTCACGACTGGGCCATCCCAATCTTGGCGGAGCATGGTTTGCAGCGTGGGTCGGAATGGCGACAAGTAGTGGACAGCAAGATGGTACCACGAGCACACCACCTCAGCTGCCTCGAAGTCGAGCGGCACGTTGTGGTCGTCAGGTTCTCGTCGCATCCGCGCGACGCACAGGACGAGGCTGCCAGCAATCAGCTTCTGGCGAGCGGCACTGTCCTTGGGACATCGCACCTTCAGCATCCGCAGCACCGAGTTGCGGAAGGAGTAGGTGTCTTTGCCCTTGGCGCCGCACAAATGGACGCCTGCCTTGGCGCAACGCCACTGGTTTCTCTCTGCAGCAGTCTCCTTCCTGATCGGCTCGGCCGCTGCATGCATCTGCATGGTGTGCTTCCTGCCCCAATCAGCGCCGAGCAGAGGCCGCGCCGCGCGCCCGCTGGGGCAGCGACCCACGGCGACCAAAGCAGTCACGCAAGTGGTCCGCACGGCTGCCGCACTCTGGAAAGTCAAGTGCGAAAACCTCTCCATGGGCACAGGCACCGCGCCCAGTTGGTGCAGCAATGGGGCCATCAGAGGAGACGTCCCAAACACGTTCTGCACCAGGTCGCGCGAGTTCCGAGAACTGTAATCCAGCAGATCCGATGTGAGCTGTCTATGCTCCGCAGCCTTCAACTTGCCGAACCACTTCGCGTCTGCCCGAGCCGATTGCAGGGAGGTATCCAAGGTAGCGCCCCCCTCGACGATCGCCTCGGCCAGGCTCGTCTTCTGGTCTACCTCGTCGTCGTCCCCCATGCCCCCACCCATCGGGTTCGATATCATGTCACTGATACGTTGGCAGCGAGCCTGCTGCTGCTCTCTATGAGCGGCCCTGACAACGTCCCTCCTGATGGGCCCGAACGGGCGCTCGCCAGCGCGGCGCCTCTCCGCGCCCTGCGCCCCAGCAGCCTGCAATTGTGCAAAGCGAACGGGGTCGTTCGCTTTGACGTCCCTGTACCTCTCCCCCAAGCTGCCGAAATCGCGGAACAGGCCGATGTCGCTCTCGGCGACGAAAGCCCTCCAAGGCCCGCTCCAGCCAGCAGCCGACGGCGATGCGTCACCATCTTCACCAGGGTCGTCGGCAGCGTCGCACTGGATGCGAAGGTTCTCAGGGAGCACGAACTTCTCAGCCAACGTGTGATCGTGCTCCAGCATCGCTCGGAATCGACTTAACACCCATTGAGCGGATATGTAGCCAAGCTCTTGTTGATGTGTCTGGCAGCCGAGCTTCTTGCATAATCGACGGACGAACGCCCAGCCAGCCTCCACTGGAGCCATCGACGTACGAATGCACGATGCTAGAAACGCTAGTCTCACAATAATCTCGGACTGGTCGCCACAGTCCAAGTTATCCTCCAAGAACTTCCTGCCGAAGGCCCCGTACAAGCAATAGTCTCGGACTCGGCCAGCTCGAACTTGGGCGAGTCGACTAGGGTCATGCACCAGCCTGAACAACTGGACGTCCTTGGAACGGTTGGGAGCGGCCCACAGCTCCTCGATCAGGGCACCAAGGCGGCTGAACAACCTAAACACCTTGGTCACGTTGGCATCGTCGAAGTACTTGATCGGCACGATCGTCCAAAACTCATCCTCATCGTACAGGTAGCGTAGCTTTCTGAAGGCACTCATCTCTGCGGCACCCTCGGCGGCAACGCTGATCCGATACTGCCTGCCCGCCATTGCCGCCGCCATCGACTGCCCCGCAGACAGCGCCGCAGCGACCTTGTGCCGCTGCTCACGCTCCCAAGCTTCGCCTGACATCGTGAGACCAACGTGGTCCAGCGGCGCCAAGACTGTGAGGGCCATTCTCATGAGCAGTAAGTCGAACAGCGGGTCAGACAGAATCCAGTCGCAGGCGATGCGCCTGTCTGCAGAATTCTGCTCCTCCGCCGCATCGATCGGGTTCCGCCCGCCGTCGCGGGCAGCGGGCCCAACCTCGGGGGCGACAAATGGGACAACCGCTGCTCCGCCACCTGGCACTGGCGCCGCGGCCGCGGCGACTTCGCCAGCCGCGGCGACAGGCCTGCGAGGCCGCGTCCCCTTGCTGCGCGCCCAGGCAGGGTACACGTGGGCAAGTATGCCATTGCAAACCTCCAACATCCCGAAGGCGCACGTGCACTCCGTGTGGCCAGTCCAATGGTGCTCAGCAAAGTTGTCAGGGGCACGGCTGCAAAAGGCGTAACACAGGCCCTCCACGACGAGTGTCTTATGCGAATCAATCTGGGCAGGCGTGTAGTCGGCCTCCTCGCCAGCAAGGTAAATCGGTATTATATCTCGCCGCCGCCAGTCGCCATTCGGAAACATGTGCCTCGCAACGAGCTTCGGGACAGAGTTCTGCAGGCTGGTGGTGAACAGCCTGATGCACCTCATGCGGTACAGAGCCGCATCCGCAGGACACTCTCCAAAGACAGGTTCGATCAGCGGTCGGACCACGGTCTTGAACATCCGCCTGAAAGAAGTCATGGACCCCAGCACTCTCAATGACGCAGCCGCACGCTTCATGCCCACGATGGTGGGCTTCAGCGTGGCAAACAAATGCGTTTTGATAGTCATGTCAACGCGGGCGCTGCAATCTAAATCCACACCGCCCTCTGGGCGCACAGGCTGCGTTTCTTCCAACCCACCGTTCTTCCCCTTCGGGGAGGGGATTGCCCCTCCCCCGACCCCCCGACCCCTGGACCTGGACGGGGGGGGGGGGCGTTGCGAGTAGATAGAGCGTCCAATGTGGCCCTCGATGGCTCCAGGAGGGCTCCAGATAGCCCAAGATGCACTCCATGATAACCTCACCTCGCCTGGGCCTGGGCGTCGTTTCTAAATGGGCTGGTGGGGATACGCGAAGCGCCACGAATTCAAGTGCTGGTCGTCGGGGGCGTCCATGATGCGAACGCCGCGCTCTGTCTTCGCGTTGACGGGGGCCCTATCCAGACATGTGCCCCGAAAGCGCTGCTCGAACCCTCTCGAACGAAGTGACCCACCAAACACGTTATGCAGACATTGCCTGCAGTTCTCGGCAGTGCAGCGGTCGATCGCTTGCAGGCGGTTGGGCTGCTCCCCCGACAGCATGCACCATGAAACGGCCCCGCCCCGCCTGTGGTCGATAACGCGCAGCAGCATCGAAAACTCTGTCCTGATCTGGAGCAGCTTCATCGGGCCAACCTCGGACGCACTCATAGCAGCAAGCTGTGATGGCAGCTGCCCGACAAGCGCGTCGCCCTGCACGGCATCAGGCAGCGCCAACGCGATTGACTCCAGCATGCGGTGCCGACCTCCACCGCGAATGAAATCAACAAACTTCAGCGTGTGCGGCGACTCGTCGTACATGAGGAACTCGGCGTAGTGCATCGGTTGTATCTGCACGGGGTCGCCTGGCACATCGCTGCTGGTAAGTGCGAGCTCCAAGGCTCGGCGCTCCGCTCGATTGGAGAGTATGGCAATGGATGCAGCGTCCATCATCCGATTTTTGATCTCGTGGCGTTCTGTGCCGAATTTGTCCCCCAGGTGGGCAAGGGACATGACAGCAGTTGAGCACTCAGGATTCAGACGGCTATTCAATAGCCGCATGGTGTTGCCGTCAATCTGACACTCGCCCTTGCGAGACGCACACAGCCACGATTCGAACAGGGGCAATAGCGGGCTCGGCGCGCCTGGGAACACATCGCCCTGCAAGAGGCGGCGAACAGTATCAGCACCATAATCCTCCAGCACTGGCACCCTCAACCTCTTCTGCTGAGGCTCGTCGGCTGGCCCCTCGCCAGCGGCCGCCGCCGCTGGCCGCCTCGCGACACGCCCGCCTCTGGCGCGCCCAGCTGCGCGGCCACCGCGCCCAGCGCCAGCTCGGCCGCGGCCGCGGCCTCGACCTGGATCTCCTCGCCCAGGCGCGGGCGCGCCAGCGCCCCGCCCAGGCCCGCCCGCGACAGGATCACCGCCAGGCCCGAGAAGGCCAGGGCCAGCGCCATCCCACTCCATGCACACGTCCTCGGAGCCGCCCTGGAGCCGTTGCGCTCTCGAGCGGGGGGCGAGCCGAATCCGAAGGGCCAAAATGGCCAGTTACGGTGTGACCGCACGGCATAGCATAGCCGTAGCACATCATGGTTGTCGCTGCATTGCATTGGCATTCAACGTTGCACGGCATACCATCAATCAGCGCCGCAGTGCATGACCAAGCTAACCTTTGTCTAGCACCATAGCACACCGCGCCACGCATTACCCGACAGTGCTCGCACATGCACGGCCGCAGCTTCTAAGAGACAGGGCAAACGGAGGGCGTGAGTTTCCTGGCGGCGTCGGTCGCGCCCGTTGTTTGCGCCATAGGTTGCGCCCGCCAGCCGCAGCGTTGACGCGGCAATGGCCCCCCCTGCTACGGGGGGGAGGCACTGGACCACGGGGTTCGCGAGCGCGCGGCCCCAGACACCATGAACCCATTGGCCGCAGAGGGCCCTGACACCGCGGGGCACCCGCGGCCCGCGGCCCCAGACACCATGAACCCCATGGGCATAGGGCGCCCTAAGCCAAGGGACCCCCGAGACCCCCTAGGCCCGTGGCCCCTAGGCCCTAGGCCCTTGGAGACTCTGAGCGCCTGGAGCCCCGAGAGCCAACGGCCCCAGACACCCTGGGCCCCATGGGCGTTGGAAGCCCTGAGCCACTGGAACCCCGAGGCCCAGGGGTCAGGGGTTCCACACAGCATGACCCCCAAGCCCTTGAAGGCCCTGAACGCCTAGAATCCCGAGAGCCAGCGGCGCCAGACGCCCCGAATCCCATTGGCATTGGAAGCCCTGGGACCCTGGAGCCCCAAAGCCCAAGTGCCCCACACAATCTGATCCCTGAGGCACCCTAGACCCTCGGCGCCAGGAATCCCGAGTCCCGAGAGCAAACGGCCAAGACACCCCGAACCCCGAAGTCCCTGGAGACAGTGGAGCCCCGTTAGGCGCCCCCCCCCACTAGTGGCTTTCGAGGCCCATTCGCGGCCCTCTTGAGGCCTGCACGGGCCGACCGAGACATGGGCGGAGTCGGAGTGCCGAGAGGCATCTTGACATGGCAAAGCCCGATTGGGAGGATGGGGTGGGGATGAGGTGGCAAGGACAACACATCGTGTTTCACCAACCTTCGACACGAGCACACGATGTGCGATCACCAAGCGTGACCGCTCCATGCTCGTATCATCTGCTGCATCGAGCTGGAGCGCACGAGAAACACATGCGACTTGAAACCTGGTCTGCGGGCTCAGGCTCGCGAATCTCTGATCGCTGAGCCTTCCCGCCGCGTAGCTCGAGCTCGTGCTGCACAGACTGGTGAACTAGAGCTTGAGCGAGTCGCCCTCGAGGACATCATCGACGTCCAACGGCGCCTGCGACTCGCCGCCCATGCCGTACGGGTGAGGGTTGCTGCCGCCGCTGTGCTCCGCGCCAAACTCCTTCAGCGTGTCGAACACGGGCGGCGGCTTCTCGTCGTAGCGCTGCGTCTCCAAGTGCTGCTCGGTGATCTTCTTGTTCTGGAGCGTGCCGCCGCCCTTCTGCCGCTGCTGCTCCGCCTTGTCGGAGGGCGCCTCACCGTCGGGGCAGGCTTGGGCCTGTGAGAGTCGACTTCGCCTCGTGTAAACGGCCATTGTCGAAAAAAAAAGAAAAAAAAGATGGAGCTTCGCGCCGTCGGGCTCCCGGCGTCGCCGTCCCTGGAATAACATTCAAGATAGGATGAAAAAAAAAAAAAAAACCTAAAAAGCAAAGAAAATAGTGAAAAAAAAAATAAAGATAGAGAGGAATAAAAAAAAGAAATTTAAAATTTAAATGAAAAAGAAGTTAATAAAAACAACAAAAGATAAACGAGCCGCTCAAGCCCTGGTCGCAGTCGGCCGCTGCACTGGCCGCCGCCGGGGCGCCTGCCTCCGCGGCCGCTCGGAGCCCGTGCCAGGGCGAGCGAACGGCGGCCGCGGTGGCCTTCTCTGCTGCCTCCTTCTGCCTGGCCGACTCCCACACCAGGCTCAGCTCCTGCCCGAGGATGCGGAAGCTCTGATTCTGGTTGAGCGCCTGGGGCCGCACCGCTTTCTTGGGCATCTTTCTGTCGTCGCCAACTGCCGAGCCCAACTGCTGCTGGACCACCGACTCTGCCTGGCAACCACTGCTGTTCACGTCGCCCTCGTCGTCGTCGCTGGTGATCTCGATCTGCGTGAACACATTCGGATCCAGGTGCGGTGCAAGTTTCGGCCTCTTCTCTTGTGGTTCTCCGTCGGCGAGCTGCTGCAGTAGACTGTCGACGTCGACGTCGCCCTTTTTGCTGTCGTCGACGTCCTTGCTGCTAGTGTCGATCACGAGTGGGATCCAGACGACGTCGCGCCTCTTGTAGCCAACTGGCAGCTCATCTAGCTTCATCGTCACGTGTGCGACTCTGTATGTGCCGAACGCCTTTTTCGTGTGCTCAAGGGGTGGTCCAGCATCCATCTGCATTGCCTGTGGCGGCGTGGCGTCGGTGCTGGCGTTGGTGCTGGCGTCGGCGCTGGTCTCCAGCAAGCCGATCTGGCCCTCTGATGGGAAAAGGTTTGGGCCGCGACGGCGTCGGGAGCCCCCGTCGGGGGCACAAGATGGCCATGCGGTCCCCGAGACGACCCCGAACGTGGCCCTGGGGCCCCCAACACTGCACTCGAAATGGCCTGGGCCCCCCCGAGACAGCCCAAGATGGCCCCGAGGCCCCCAAGACGGCCCCCAGGGGACCGCTTACGATCCCACGATGCACCCCGAGAGGCCCAATATACCCTGGTGGGCATCACCCACGAGGCCACAAAAGGCCCCCCACCCGCTAGAAGCCCCAGACCCCAGAACCCGAAAATGCACCTCGAAGCCCCAACCCCCAAAAGGCCACAACAGGCAACCCAGAAGCCTCAGACTCCACGATCCCAAGAGCCTCCCCCCCGACCAAGCCGTCGGTGGAACTCCCTATGCGGCACGAGACGCACGACGCGCACGTCCACGCGCGCGCGTCTGATTTCGCGCGGGGGCGCCATGCGGGCGCCCCTCCCCGCAATAAGGTTCCCCTCGTCGCCCCCCTCGCATCCTCATCATCATCATGGCCATTAGGATGACTACTACTCCTCATCACCTCCCTTCTATCCTGCCTGTTCAGTCCTCTTCCCTCATGCCTTCTTTCGCCTCCCCTCCTGCATCCTCCATCCACGCCCGCATCCTCCTCTCTCGTCCACGCGGCCCCCGCGCAACAGCTGACGCGCGCACATGCGCGTCTATTCCCCGCTCCTCTACCCCACGGCCCTCTCCCCTTCTCCCCATCCCCTAACCACCCTCAACTGTTTGCCGCGGGGCACGCGCGAGGGGCGTGCCGACGCGGGCGCGGCGGCGCCATGCGACCGCCTCCACTGGGCCGTGGGTCGAGCTCCCTGCGAGGCGCAAGCTACGCGAGAGGCGTGCCGATATGGGCGCCGCGGCACCACAAAGTCACGCTGGGGCTATAAGTGGAGCTCGCCATTGGGCACGAAACGCACGATGAGGGTTGCCGACATGCGCGCGGCGGCGCCGCGCGAGCACGTCCACTGGGGCCACAAACGAAACTCCGAATGGGGCACGAACCGCGCGAAGGGTGCGCCGAAACGGGCGCGGCGGCCCCGCGCGAACACCTCCATGATTGGGGCCGTGGGAAGGGCGCCCTGCGGGTTACGAGGCGCACGAGAGGCGTGCCGAAATGGGCGCGGCGGTGCTATGCGAACACCTCCACTGGGGCTGCAAGGGATTGAGTTCCGCGAAAGGGCACGTAACGCGTGATGGGCGCGCCGAACAAAGTCGACACCAAGAAAAGGGGGAGGAAACATAAGAGGGGGATGAAGAAAAGGAACGGCGAGGAGTGAGGGTCGCGAGGCGCTGCTGGTTAATTGGTCGAAAACTGTTGGTTGAGCTTTTCAAAATGATATGGTTGTTTCTGAAGACGTAGCTTCGTCGTTTTGGTTTTCTGATGTAGATTGGTTTCGTTGGAGCGGGCTCACGAAAACCAGCGCACGGGAGTGTTTGGATCTATCTCGGCTGACATTCCAAGAAATGCCAGGGCTTGCCCCTCAACTCCTCATGCGAACCAATTTACATAACAAAAACAAGAACGACCAAGTTAATTTAGCAAAAAAAGAGGTATCATCTTGGGAAACTCAAAAAGCATTTTTTGACCAATTTGCCGTATATAGCTCCTAGGGGGACAACCCCATCATAAGTCTCCACCTCCAACTCGTTCTCACCTTGGCGTTCGCCCTTTGAAATCCCGCCATCCTCCTCCGCCGCGTCTCTCTCCAGGTAGCCGTCCTTTGAACGACTGCCTCCACGAGGGCCCCTTGAGCCCTCGTCAATCTCGACCTCCAATGAGCTTCTCCATATCGGGTGGGGCAGGCAGCAGGTGATGGCGCTCTGCTTCAGGCTGCCGCACTTCTCGCTGTGCTTGCTGATGGCCCCGTCCTCGGTGCCATCGCCCTCTCCCGCGCAGGCCGGAGGCCAACAAGAAGGGGGGGTCTTGTTCCAGGGCGTCGGAACGCCCGGCCCGCGCTACCTTGCTCTCCAACTTCTCCTCCAACGCCCGCGCCTCGGCGTCCATCGCCGCAATCTGTTCCAGCTTCTCTGGGGCGGTGCCGGCAGCCGCTGCCTTCAGCACGGCTGCCCAGGCAGCGCACAGCCGCGGTGCATACTGCCCCGCGCGCTGGGTTCTCCGCGTGCCCCGTAGTCCCAGTCCGAAGCCGGCGCTTCCCAGTTCTCCCTTTACCGCGGCACTGAGCTGGGGGGTGCCGCTGGGGACGCGACCTCCGCCTTCCAGGTTGGGAGGGGCTTGCGTGCTGATGGTGAAGTCAGGCGGAGTAGTGGGGGTGGAGGAGGGGGGTAGGGGGGTGCGAGTGGGGGGAGTGAGAGGAGTGTTAGGAGGGGGGGGGAGGGGAGGGGTGTGGGAGAGTGAAAGCGTGAGCTCGCTCCTCGGGGTCCTCACCGTAGTAGAGGGCCCACTGGTCTCAGGCAGCGGCGGAGTAGTGCTGCTTTGTGCGGAAATCGATCCTCGCCCAGCTGGGAAATTGTCTGGGGGGGCGGCCCGTGCGGTGAGCGGTCACAGCGGGATCATCCTGGTCGT